TGAGGGTCAGTGCCTCATTATCAGATTTTAGTACAGACCTTTAGAATTTTATCAGAGCTGGGCTTCTTGCTGCTCAGGGGAAGGAGCCTATGGAGCTTACCTTTATTCTCTGAATTGGCACCACCTTTGGCTGTGGCCCATGCAGCCTCAAAGGAGGCTTCCTTCTGTGGAAGCCAGGGCCAAATTCCTTTTGTGGGAAACTAGAACACAAATGCTTTCTTGTCAGTTTCCTTCTAAGCTCCACAGTGGGAAATGAGCACTCACATGGTTAGCTTTCCTAAGAGGTGTGCAGCCAGGCACAAATCTGGAAGGAGCTACCAGGAGAGTCCAGGAAGCAGGCAGAGGAAAAGACCTTCTTCCATCCATGCCTAGGGAAAGGCAGGAGTTCAGTATGAAGAGCATTAACATTTGGGTCTGACAGTTCCAGATTCCATTCATAGCTCATCCATATACTACCTAGTGATCTGAAGCATGTTACATAATCCCTGTCTCAAATATTCTCTTTGCTTATAGGTTTCTACATTAGAATGATATATCACTTATTTAATATAGTAAATGCTGGCCACTGAATCTAAACCATCTCCAGCTACACCTTAGTCTTTATTTTTTTCATAGAACTTATAAGCACTTATAACAGTTGATTTATTTAAAATTATAAGTTTATTTATTGCTCAACTGTTTTCCACCACAATGCAAGCTCTAAGGGAAATGGCCATGTAGCTCTTAGAATGTTACCAGTACATAGTCACTTCTTCGATAAATCTGTGTCACATGAATAAATACATTTTTAAAAAAGGAACAAATTCATGAATGAATGAATAATGCAGACCTTAAGTACCATGGGTAAACAAAGGCAAATTTGGCTGGTTCCTTCCTCTGAGGATCTTTAAATTTAGTAGCAGACATGAGAAAGCATACAAGACTGATTGAGGGGAATCAGGGGCAGTGCTATGAAGGAGGGAAAGATAAACTTCTATGGAAGATCAGGAGAGAAAAAGATAACGTTCAACTAGACAATCAGAGACTGCTTAGATCTGCAGGGGTGGGGAGCTGTCCGCTTGAAAGGATGAAGGGCAGTTCCAAGGGAGGCACAGCAGGGGTGCATCCAGGCAAGGGGGACCTGAAGGACATTCCTGGGAGCAAATGGAACACTTCCTTTTTCCTAATGCCATCCCACCCCTATGCTCATACCCACCTTCCTCCCCATTTGAAGCATGCACTATTCTTAATGAAGGCTTAACTGAAGGTCCACTTTTCCACTTGAGGCTTTTTAAGATCTTCTTAGCCTTAAGTTTACGTGATAGGAATTTTTATTGTTTTATCATTTATTTGGGGCTCACATTGTACTGTCATTTATTCTCTTATCATATATCTTATCAAAATAGACGGCTGACAAGCTCTTGAAGGGAGGGGAGCAGGGACCTATTCCTGTGAATTCTAGCTGTGTATATTTGTATATAATCATCACTCAATAGATATTGGTTGGGTGACTGATTTAGGAAAGTAACTTAAATCTTGCAAGAGTCTTTCTTTTCAACTTCTGCGCAGAATGTTGCCTCAAATTCTGTTCCACACAAGTGTGGGTTGACCTTGGAGAGCAAGTCCCTTTAGAGGTAGAATATTTTAGAGTTAATATTTAAAGCTTCACTTGTGCAGGGGTTCATTTTATGCATCATGATACTGAAGGCCAAAGAACTTGCTGCTTCCCCAATGCCCTGGAACTATAGGTCCATGACGGTATTTTGGGCTTGAAAGCTTGAAAAGGTTTGTAAGACTTGATGTTTTACATTAGTCTAGGGAAATCTCTTGCTAGGAAGCCAAAATACAAGCCTCTTAGAGGCTTCTGAGTATAAAGAATGTACTCACAGACCCTATAAACAATGAATATTACTGAAATGAGCTTTATGACTAATAGGGGCTATTTTTGGAACTTGGAGCTAGAAGAGAAATTTGGATCAGGGATCTGAGTCACTCCCTGTTATTCCCGTTAATTACCACAACTCTGCTTGAGGGAAACTGACTACTGCTAAGCAATAAAAATAGATAAGGCCCACAAAGGAGATTGGATAATTGCTATGGAACCTGAAGGCATTTTAGGAAGATAAGACTAGATAGAAAGGAATCAGTTGCAGAAAAGAAAGGCAAGTAAAAAATTGAAAGTACTCCAATATTTTTAAAAGCCTGTGCTTAGAAATCATTCAAAACAAATATCTTTGTATGCAACTCAAACATTTATTACAATTACATTTATTTTAGTTCAAATAGCTTATTAGTAAGTTTCTATTTGCAGGTTTTAAAAAGTTGCTAAGCCATGACTTTCAGATGGAATAGGCCAATTGTATCCAGTAGATTCAAGGGAAAAAAAAACCCCTTAGACCTGCGAATCCTCTGCTGCAAAGGAGTAGTTATAATGACAGCACTGATGGACCAACCGACTGAACCTTCAGAGTGAAAAATCAGCAGGCCAAAGCATAAAAAACAGTTCTAGAACTGTGAGTAATGGTAAATTTAGTTATGGTTAGTCTATGCTAAGACTTGAGGCTGCTGCAGTAACACTTCAAAACTGCTGAACATTCTTTCTTTGTTTGCTTTCTTCTCCACCTCCTTTATCACTCCAGCTATTTTGCTTTATTGCTGTAGCTCTTGGAGGAGGGAGTTCCCCACTGATGGCAAGTTCACTGTGGAATCGCTGAGACTGAATAAAGACAACAAAAAGCTGGGGGTTATAAGGGGCTCATACCATGTTTTATTCTCATAGCATTCACCCAGCTACGTACAGGCGGCAAAGACGTCTTCTGTCTCTGCTGGACTATAGCCTCTGCTCTCTCCAGGCACTGCCTCCCACTTGGTGGCTCCGTCTCCTTGCTGCTTCCTTCCTAGCACTGGGACCCAGCAGCTTCCCTCTGCCAGCCTCCTCTCTCTCTGCCTCCTAGCACCGGGGCTGTGCAGCAGCTTCTTCCTGCTCCTCTCTGGGTTCTCTACTTCTCTTTCTGTGGGACTCTGTGGGCCAGTGTTCATGGTGATTGGCAGCTGCCAGGTCCAATTATGACCAGGTGCTTGTATGTTTCCTCTCCATCCCTCTCCGGGCCACTACTTACAGGACTGATGGTTTGCTCTACGGGCTCTGCCACTGGTGAATAGTTTAAATATGTATTTAATGGGCAATGTTAGAATCAGGTGAGGAGAGAATCCTGGCCATAACATTTCATTTTCTCTATAACTTCTTTCTACCTCTAAATTTACCTACATTTTTGTATAACTTTTCTTTTTTCTTTTTTCCTATTTTATTCTCATACCCTCTGTACCTTCTTTCTTAATGTTTTGTTGTTACTGTTATTATCTCTTCTCTGATTCTTTCCTTCATTCTTCATTCCTCTTCTTTCTCTACTTGAAAAATTAAATGACTGCAATAAAATATTTGAGTTTTAACTATTATTTATTTAATGGGATATGATTTTCCCATTTTTAGTTTAAAATTTACAACCAGTTTAAAAATTTTACATATGCCTCTTATTTTTGGCCTCTTGAATTCGTTGACTCATTACGTCATGCCTATCAGAACTTCATACACAATTACAACATCCTCAGGGCTGCAAGTGGTGGAGTTGAGAAGATACATACTTCATCTTTCCTGACCTTGATCTGCCCTTAGGGTTTAGAGAGAATCAGGCTTGTAGGCAGATATTACAATGCAAGAATACCAAATATTGTAATACCAATAGGAACTTTGGCTATGGAAGGGAAGAGAATTCAGAATTAACTCTGCCTGAGGGTGGTGAGGAAAGTTCCCTAGAAAAGAGGGTGCCCAGGGGAGTCCTAAAACAAGGAGAGGGCTGCAGGTAGAAAAAAGAAAAGTGAGTTTTTTACTTTCATTTGACCCGCAACTGGTTTTTTTGTCTATAGTTAGTGGCCTTAATGAAAAGGTGTTTCAGGTGATAAGCAACTGAGACCCTTCCGGGCTTTTCAGATTGTGACATCTGGAAGAAAAAACATGCAGATAACTTCTGCCAGGAATAAGGGCTTTTCAGAAATTTCTGGTCCGGGTTGTATGGCAGCTGCAGGGCATCATGAGGAGGCAAAAATTCTCACAACTTCCACTAAAGTAGATTTCCTGAACTCTTCTATGGAGATGTTAATAGATGTTAAGAAAAAAAGCATTCTATGGCCAAATAGTTTGGGAAATAATGAGCTTTAAAAAAATGTTATAAGTGGTATTTAGGACTATTTTAATATGTTAATATTCATCAAAAATCTTGCAAAGAGAAACATGTGAAGAATTGGGCATTCCTGATGCAAAAGCCCATGTTTTTTTCTCTAAATCAAGTGTCTTGCTGTCTTGCCAATGGATTTCAGCCCCGGGCAAGTTCACTATGGATTCAATGTGACCAAAGAAATTGACAGCAAAACGTTCTTTGGGGTGAAAGGGTTTATTACCTGGCTTGTTCTCCCAGTGGGAGGTCGAGCACTAGCTGTCTCTGCCTCAGCCCAGAGCACTGGGCCAAACTCTCTATATAGTACAGTAATAGCTTATTGCCTTAAGGTGTGGAAGTGGTGGCCTAGCAACAGGCCAGTTACATCATCAGGTGGTTTAAGTTCAGTGAGGATCCTGGCCATAGGAACCCCAACTTCCCCACACTTGCCAATGGGTTTCAGCCCCTGGCAAGTTCACGATGGATTCAATGTGACAAGAAATGACAGTAGAACATTCTTGGGGTGAAAGGGTTAGACCCAACTTTATTTCCATGGTGGCAGGTCAATCACTAAAATCCTGTTCACTCAGAGTGAGTCTGCATGAAGCAAGCCAGTCTCTGCCTGTAGGCCCCTCTGCCCAACACAGCTGTCCTCTGGGCCTCTCTGCCTGCACAGTTGTCCCACACAGCTGTCCTCTCGGCCTCTGCCCTTGGTGCTGTCACTACTCCAGCTTCTGCTCTGCTCTCCAGCCCTGCCACCATGTCACCCAGAGCACTGGGCAGAGCTCTTTATATAGAGTCAATAACAATGTATTGCCCACACGTGTGTAGTGAGCTAACCAACCAGGGCCAGGTGAGAATCCTGGCCACAGGAACTTTCATTTTATCCACACAAGTCACCAGCCCTTTCCTAAGAAGAGAGATGTCTTTGCTCCCTGCCTCCTTCCTGGAGCTGCTGCTCTGAGAAAATACTAGTAGCTCTTTGATCTGTGTGCCTGCCTGCTTGAGAGAAGAATGAGACAGAGCTGGTTTTCTGGTTCTTTCCAAAGGCTCCCTCAGCACTACATGGATTTAGTTCCTTCCAAGCTATGTGACCTTAGGCAAGCCTCATGACTTCTCTGACAGCTGCCTTTTTCCTAATACTCCATCCAGGCAGTTAAGGGAATACAGGTGTGGCTGATAAACCCTGAAGACTGTACCTTTCCCCAGGACATTTGGATTTGGTTAGGGAAGTAGGAAAAAAGGTCTTTCAGAGCCCAAAGAAGAAATCTTCTAGAAGCAGATTTTTAGGCATTTGATCAGACAGGAAAAAGCTTGTTTGGAAATAAATGGATTGACAGTATGGGTCTCTAAGTGTCTGTAAAGTAATATCACAGAGTCTGTTTTATCTGTCTACCCTTCTGCTGGGCCTTTGGGTGAACTTTGGTTTTCCCAACTCTGCTCTAGAAAGGGATGCTCAGGATGGGCTAGCGAGTCAAATAAGGACATGGAAACCCAGTTAGTACTCACCCTTTAGAAAAAGACCATCTGGAGGTTTAATCTTCTGTCTTAAAAAGTTGGCAGCTTTCTTCCTAAAAAACTACATTTAGTGGTGTTTACAGAATTCATCCAGTGCAGCTTGAATTTTATGGAGCTCTAAACATTTAAGCAATATTCAGGAAAGTGGCAGGCTTACAATGTTCCTGGGTAAACCAGAGGCTATAGTTGCTTCCTTCCCATTCCCAAGTCCTGAGAAAGAGTCCTCTGAGTAAAAATGGAAGGAGAGCTGAGCTAACCAACCAAAGTAAGACCTTTGGCTTTGTGGGGAAAATCCATAAATGGTCCATTTAAATTGTTTAATGCAACTTACATAACTAAATTTTTATGCATGGCACCTATGACCTTTGTTGTATTATGTCTCAGCAATATAAACTATTAGAAAAATAACTCAGTGAGGAATGAATGTTTATAAAACTTCTTAATTGCAAAGAAGCACAAGGGTTTTTGCCTTGGGGACAAAGGGCTAATGAGAGATTGTTATGTGTTTTCTTAAGGGTCTTAAAAGCCAGTCTGTGTTGTATTTGTCATAGCCTTACAGTTATATAGGGGTCAGTCTGCAAACCCGTGGTTGGGTCCAGCTTTGGAAAACAGCCCATTGTCAGAATGAGGGGTTTGGAATTGAAATAAGATAAAATGAAAACATTTGAATGGAACACTGGTTTTTAACTCTTTGTCATTCTCTGAAATATCTGTAGTTACACAGAACTATGAATTCTTTAGAATCCCAGATATTAAAAAGTGTGTTCAATATGAAAGAAAGGAATTCCATCCGCTTTCTTTAGTTTTCTACACTGTAGTGACCCTCAAAATTTCAACATTTGTTACCTTAATCACATTCTGATTGTACTCAGGCCAGTAGAACTGAAATATGTTCTCCTGCAAAGCATGAACAAGGAACTTGGTTTCTAGAGAACTCTGTGTGTCTATGGGTTGAATGAAGTAGTATTTGGGGGACATTGTCTATTCAGCCAGGGCCTGTTCGTGTTATGGGGAAGCTGTGCTGACTTTGAGGCTAGCTGTGAGCACCACAGAAGCTTCCCTAGAGCTTCAAAGGACAAAAGGCCATCAATCCATTAGTTACAGAGATAGTCCTGGCCTGGTGGGAAACTCCACTCCCTTTCCCCTATGTTCAGCTTTTTCTGCTTCTGACCACAGACACCATGTCCCCCACCGCCACACAGCTCTGGTTGAGTGGTAAGGAGCATAAGAAGCTAGGCTCCACAGAGACACTGAATGTCCTCTTCTTTTGTTACATTTGTGACATTGGAAGTAGGCTCCAAAGTTGGGTGTTGGAACAATACAGATTTGAAACAAATACTTCCACATGGTGGACTGGCTATGCGGGGATCAATCAGGAGAGTAGCAGCAACTGAAACACTCTGGTGATGCATAATTTTTTTTAAGTTACGAGAACAAATTGCTGTTGGTAAACTTTGATGTGTTATGTGAGCATCCAGATTTCTATCAAGATGGCATAGGGCAATTGTATCAAGATATAAGGCAATGTCCCCCAAATACTACTCCGTTCAACCAATAGACACACAGAGTTCTCTAGAGACCAAGTTCCTTGTTCATGCTTTGCAGGAGAGCATACTTCAATTCTACTGGCCTGGGTACAATCAGAATGTGATTAAGGTAACAAATGTTGAAATTTTGAGGGTCACTGCAGTGTAGAAAGCTAATGAAAGCTGATGGAATTCCTTTCTTTCATAGTGAACACACTTTTTAATATCTGGGATTCTAAAGAATTCCATCATTTTATTGTTGTGAAGATAGGAAATAAAACTGTTCACATTGACTATGGATAAGAAAGAGTGCCATCTAGGGGTCCTGCTTAGAACTCCACTTCATCTCAAGACATCCTTCAGTGTGACCTTGAGCTGTGTTATCCTGTAATTGTGGTGCTCATGATTGATAATAAGGGAAAGGGAACAGTCGGCATAGTCATATGGTAACAGAGTCAGGT